GGGCAAGGCTGACCAGTGAGGAAGGCTGTTGCACTAGTTATTTGAGAGATACAAAGAAGTGGTGGTAGTTATGTGTTGTCAAGTCGGACCCAACACATAGCGACCCCTCCTTGGGTTTCCGAGGCAGTATCATTATGGAAGTAGATTGCCCAATCTTCCTTCCAAGGATTGGCTGGTGGATTTGAACCGCCAGCCTTCTGGTTAGCAGTCAAGTGCCTTAGGCACTATGCTACCAGAGCTCCTAAGGAAGTGGTAGTGGGTAGCAAATTTGGTTGAGATGTAGCTAGCAGAAGTTTTTTATAACAGATTATTTCCATCTTACAGCTTATGGATATTTTCTTTTAAAAATGTTTTCAACTAGAGAAATACTGATTTGCTTTATGTTCTGAGTTACAAAATTTTATCATGCCCTTTAGTCCTGTAGGCAATAGTGAAGCCTCCTGGCTTCAGTACTTTAGCATCAAGTATTACAGAAAAACTCTTAGTTACTTTCTGCTCCATGGGTTCTAATATATTTGTACTATATTAAATCATCCTGGGATTTTTATTATGCATGGGTATGCCTAACTCAACATGTTTCCTTTCTTTATCTAAATTTAAAACTGTTCTTATGTAAATACTTTTCTCAATCTCCTAGATTTGCTGTTTTGGCTGAGTTTCTGTAATTGGAAAAAAAAAAAAAGAAGTTCGAACCTGACTACATCAAATTATAATCAGACTGGCTTTAAATCGATTTTTTTCCCCCACAAATGAAAATTACATGCTTACTCTAGGAAAAATTCAGATATAGATGTTTGAAAAAATGAAGAGTTTGAGGGAGGCACAATATATTATGGCTTGGGTATTTATTAGCCATGAACTTGAATTTAAACTATGCTTTGGTTTCCTCCTATGTAAAACAGGGATAGAAACAGTAACTAGGGCTACAGTAAGGATTGAATGAGTTAATAAATGCATCTGAATAACAGTAGTGCTTAGCACATAGTTAAGTGCTCAATAAATACTAGCTATTACAACCTTCATATGTGTGGATATACATGTATATGTGTAAGAGCGTAATGATTAATATTCTGCAACCGCTTTTCACACAATAGCAATGACTTTCCATAGCAGTCCATATGCAAGTTACTTTATTCTTTTTAACATCTATAGTCACGTGAATGTATCAGAATTTAACTATTGGACATCTTTGTATATTTCTTTGCATGTCTGTACTGATAGATATTTCTATAGCAAGATTCTTAGAAATGGGATAGTCAAAGACTATGTACATTTACAGTTTTGATACTGTGTCTTCCATAAAGGTTATACTAATTAATACCCTCAGGAGTAGTTGACTCTTTTACTATTATTTTTATTGTGATTTGGGTGGAAGTTTACAGAACAAATTCATTTTCCATATGGTACTTCATACACATTTTGTTTCATGACAGTAACTGCAATGCCCACAATGTAACAGCTCTCTTCCCACTTCCTCTTTGCAATGACCTCTTCCCTGTGTCCTTCTTTCCTATGCATTCCTGCCCCCTGATCTATTTTCCTGTGCAAACACTGCCCTTCTGTTCTCCCATGATTGATGATTCTAAGGAGTGTATCTACGTGATGTAAATGTTCACCCTAGTCCGGCAAGATGGCAGACTAGGCAGAAAAACTGCACAGACCCTCTCCAACAAAGAAAAGGGAAACTAGTTAACACAGACACAGAAGATACTCTTGGACCCCTGAGTCTTGAAGGGAAGGATATAGAAGTGGACTAAACCTCAACTAGCAGAAGAATTTCCAAGAAAGTACCAAAAAAAGAGTTGTAGCTGCGGTCTAGCAGCGATCCTGATGGCACAGACAACTTGGAGATTCCTG